GAGGGTAATCTATCGACGAGTAACGCTGTGCATAACATCTAAAATTTAGTCATTTCATTCGAATATTTAAATTGCGCTTACAACAAATGACTGGGAAGAATGTGCACATTTCAAGCAAACGCATAGACAGTTGACATCGTACCACCCATAAGAGCCGAACATTCATGTAATGTCTGTCCTTTTCTAACTTAATGAGTGAGAGATTTGCAAGAAGTTGCAGTATTTCAGTGGAATGTGCTGGTTATATATATAAGAATTTCAGTAATAATAGATAGGTTACTACCGTATCACCACAAGAAGACGATCGATGTGGATAGCCTTCTACGGAATGATCCAAGAAGCCAAGCAACAGCAGAAGCAGTCGCAGTACCAATAGATACAACCTGATGTATCGGTGAATGTGGGATGGACTACCGCACAACAACGATGCCCCTCCTCCCACTATGAAGTGGTCATATCATAGATGATTGAGATAGAAAAAGGAGGAGAGAGTAATATCCATACAGTGAGTGTTATTTGTGAAGCGTAAAAAATATGGTACCTAATCCGGAATTATAATTCCGTTTTCGTCTATGCTGAGCTATTTCGATGAAAATATAGGGTAGTCGGAATACACCGTTGTTTATATATCATCTTATTTTGACATCGACCACTGCGTTCTTCAGTATTTTGAATTTTTTAAAAGTAATTAGGATGAAATAGTTAGAACATAGTTTTTACAGTTAATTTAGGAAATCGTTCCGATTCGATATCGAAATCGTTCGAACTTGGTGGCTTTATCCTGCAGATCCCAATCTTGCCCCTCCTAGCCAGGTTGTCAGGTGGTAACAGTTTCTCCTTTTTAGGTTCACAAACAAACTGTTCTGGATCTCATCTCGAACGAGTTCAGTAGTGGTAAAAGTATTTCTAGGTACTTCTCTCCTAAACCTATTCTTGAGAGTATAGTATATTGTTCGTCTGCTTTAAGTAATCATTGCCGCATACTCACCTTAGCTTAGATCGGATTTTCTCAAGCGTATAATACCATACCTTCTGATTCAGCTATGATTCTTCTTCTGAAATATTTCGCGGGCCAGGATGAGAAAGCAATTAAAGGCAGCAAAATGCGATAATTGTTTGCAAATAAATGTATAACGGGAAATATAGCGTAGATGGATTGTCCGTAATAAACCATGAGGGCGGTTGAATAAAAAAAAATGATGACATTTTTTTAAAAAAGCCGACAATATTGGCTGATAAAAAGTAATTAACTGTAATATGACGGATAAAGGTCATATTACGGTATCAATTATGTCGATGATATTTATTACGGTGTCAATAACGTAGTAAATATAGCGGATTGATCAAAACAACTCATTAAAATATATGCACATATATATAAGTATTGAAGATAAAACAAAGATCCATAAGCCATTCTCGCTTTTTCCTAATTACCTACTGATGAATGTTATTATATCAGGTAAGCATATCGAATATTTGAAGTAGTCAAATGGAAATATGAATCATTCAGTTAGTTGTCATATCCCTGATAGTTGAACAAACTTCTAGTGATACATGTTCCTATATAATTAAAACTAATTCCCTGTCATTCCATTAAGCACCTACCAAAAATGAGATTTAAAAAAATGCAACATTATCGATTATTATTGAAAATGAGCTAAAAAAAATGAAATATTACCAATTATTGCTGATAAAGTAACAGAATTTCCATGAAATTTTTTCCAGTTAGAATGTACTCTAACAGTTGCAGTTATTATATTCATTAACTGAATCATTTAATTATCACTATATCCTTTCAGCAAATGTCACTATCATCTCGTTTATATTTTCCTTTTTCTTTTCAAGCATGACAAGTTTTAAATGATATAGTTGTTGATAAACATTTGCATGATTTGCTTTACACATGAATATTTATTCTTCAGTTTTACAACATTTTTGACTTATTTTACTCAGTTTTTCTTGTCATAATGAAAACTTCCCATAACTGATCATTTAACTATCACTGAAGCAATTAGTTCTGCTGCTGCACAACAATTAGTTTCATCAAACGAATGATATCATTGAGATAATATCGAACTTATAATTCCGTCTTTTACTTTTAGTACGACTATTTCGCTGTTTTCATAGCATGAAATATTTCGTGGTGCTTTGCAGTACACAGAATTACCCTCCTCAAATATTACTGTAGTACATCCATTTCTATTTTGTTTTAAATTATTAAACTGAATGTGCAGTGAATAATATTGTTAGTTGATTAGTGAGAAATCAGGAAATCTGGTGCAGGAAAGCCATAAAACCTGAAAATAAGAAAAAAATAATTTTGATTGATATACTGATACTAAAACTGACACAGTTCGTAAGAAGATGGTGAGTATAGCAGTCGAAACATGAAGTGCACGATGAAAGTTGCAATATTGGCAGATGGAGATTGAGCCTTGGTCTACATTGTCTCTCTTGTCATCTTAAAACGACAAAAGGGCCTGGTAGTTTAGCATAAGTGGGGAAAAGATGATGTTGCCAGTGGTTGCAATCATTACAAACATCTTAAGCCTCTAATAAATTAGCCTCCTCTTTTAACCTGATTAGCGTAGCCAATTTTAGATTGTCTCACAACAAATTCCTTCTTGGCTCATCTTATCGCCCACTTATTGCCAAATGATGATGATAAATATTGATATAATACGCCTCTAACATGTCGTGAACGTTTGTATTGCAGTAATCCAGTTTGAGTTCAGATTAAAATTCAAGTATTCCCGTTTGAAGCAAAAATTAGCTAATGATTTAATTTTGCTATGTAAATCTTTTTTAAGAATACATTTCAAAGATGAATCATCTGAGCTTAATCAGTTTGGATTAAGAGCATAATCGAAATATAAACCTTGCATAAGAGAAATTAATTTCAAAAATATAAAACTTAAATTTTCCAAATATCTTTACAAAATCTTAATGATTATTCAAATAACAATTATTTCTCAATATAATTTAATGATACCGTTGATGTTCGGTGGATCTGAAATAATTAATTGGTGGGATATGTCTGATTGAATCATGAGAGTGATTTAAATTTGATGCAAAAACTTAAGTAAATCAATATAACACCTTTAAAAAGCAAATGAAACAAGCCTATTGGTCAGTAATAATAATATGATGTGAAACATTTAAGATAATTACCTCAGATGCTCAGTTGTCGAAACAAAAAATCATTTGGTTTTTTTTTCTTTTCCTTTTTTTTCTTTTTTTTGTAATAATTGTTTGGAGCAATCAAAATATTTCAAAAGATACCGAAATGTGGTAATTTGAAGCGGGAACATACGTGAATATATTCGAGGAAAGAAAAGGAAGAGGTTAACAAGAGCATCTTACGAAAGGGATAATCATAAGGCGGTGAACAATCTGTAGAAGCTCTCGGTAAGTAGAAGATGTCAAATGTCGTGTCATCTAAGGACATATCTCGACGTCATTCTTACCTTCTCCTATTTTCTTAATCATGCCTTTTTATGCCTACTCCCTTTATATGTTTATTTAACTGAAATAGGAATAAGTTTACCCGGAAAGCGGTTATTATATGGTAGAAGACGAACAAAAGGAAATATCCAATATCTTAAGTGGTTATCTTCATTGAATAGCTTATAATGATTCAATGAACATATGACGACAATGTTTCCCTATGTAGTAATTGTACAAGAAATGATGCGCAAAAGGACAGGAAAAGAGGATAGGGAGTTGACAAGGTCATATTATTTATCAAACGACTATGACTACTGTATCAAGTGAAGGTATTAAAGTAAGTCGGAAAAAAATTGTTAACCTTTCGTGTTGTTAAGGTCAAATACGAATATGGTTCTATTTCAGATTTTTTATCACATTATTCCCAAAAATATCACTTATTAAAGTTAAGATAAATGACATTAATTTCGCCAAAATATTTAACAGATATTTGACATTTAATTATTTTTCTTCTTCATATCACTTCATTTTTATTTTTATCTTACCTGTACCTTTTCTAAGACCGCTTATATTTATATTAATCATGGCATATCCAAATAAATCCTGTAAAGTTTTTCAGCAATAAATCATAAAATGATCAAAAAGATAGTTCAGTTAATCTGCCATAACAAATATTAGATTATCTAATGCATGAATTAATATGGTATTCAATTAAACTTGGCAACTTGTTAGCGGAAACTATTTTGGTATAGTACTTAAGCTTATCAATTGGGCTTATCAATATGTTATTTTCTCAGAATGCTTTGATTATTATCAACCGAAAGACCGATGGAAGCACATAATATTTTTGCAAAAATTTCCAGCAGGTTATCAATGAGGATTATAAACTAATGCAGTTTACATATATCTATGCAATTACCCTTTGCATAAGTACACAAGAAGGTATATTGCACCATCACATTGACATTACGATCATTATTTAAATTAATTGAAGTATTGAAAAATAGACAAGATTAAAATGAAACTTTATTGTCACCTTAAGTTATGTCTTTTGTTGCTTTTACTTGAAACAATATATCATCAAAATTTGAAAGATTTCGAAAAATTTTTTAATAATTGTACAGATAATTTAGGCATATTCCAAATAATGTTATACTAATAAAAAACAAATAATATACTACTATAATTTTTTTGATATTAAACATTACCTTTTTGAATATTTTAATACCAATATAAATAGGCATGTGCTATGATTACTATGTCAAGTAGAAATATCTTCAAGTATTTTGCGGAATGCAGTGTCAAAACATTTTAAATTAATTATTTGAGTTGAGCTATATATTATTATTATAATTCTGCAAAATGTTTAACGTAGCCTTATGCATTATTCGGAATTCAGGTAATCGATTATGTTTCACTAGCTAGCTTGACCCCGTTTAAATAATCTGTAATGTCTTTATAGAGTGTTTGAAACTTTCTGGAATAAATCTTACTTTTGCTGTTATCATTTCAAGTAAATGATTTCTGGGAACAATGATAAATGCAGCAAAATGAAAAATAAAATAAATTCAGTGTTTGTATTTGACAGAAAAATAACACGTAGTATTTATTGCCATTCATTTACTAATGTATCATTTATGACAGAATTAGTTTTGACAAGTGTCACCGTTTTATGTTGTGATATGCTTGCAGTCATGTCCACCTCCTTATCGTATTAGCGGTTTCAGCTTTTGATCTTCATTTATGTTTTTTATATCACACAAATGAAGATAACTATGAAAATTTCTACTCTTTATCAGCGAAATAATTCTATTGATCAAAGATGATGATGAGCATACCGAATATTTCCTGCTGTCACAATTGTCACAATATCTTCGATCTATCTTGTCATTCCCGCTGAGTATTAACTACATATCAGAGAATCATTTTCTTCAGCATTGCCGCAATGCATCTTCCCTTATCTGATTCATCTTAAGTCTACTTCGAAGGTATGAAAATAATTATCTAAAGAAAATGGGAATGGAAAAATCTACTTTAAAATTTGGTAAACTAAAAATTTTTTGCATTATTTAATTTTTAATCTTTCATTCATCACGCAAACAACGATAACAGAAATGATTCGATCTCATTTGGAAGTATTTAATAAAATTTACGAAAGATTGAAAAAAAAGTTCCCCTTTTTTCAATGATATTAAATATCAAAATTCTTGTGCTTATCCGATGGTTTCACTATGATGTCGTCGAAAAGAGTGGGAAAAGGAAGAAATATAAAGTTGAATGATGAAGAAACTTTCGTGTTCGTCAGCCATTAACTAAACTATCGTAACTTGATAAAAGAAATTTATTCGACTTGAAGCATGTATGCCCAGAACGTTTCTTCTTCAAACAATTACTTCCAATTTCGTTATATAAAAATCAAATGTCGGGAGAAAGTTGGAAAAATTCAGACAAGACCAAAATTTACATAATTTTTAACATTGTTCAACTGAGGTGACATATCGATATAGCTAGAGAAGAAAAATTCATGTTTTAAATTTATAAAAAAATAATTTATTCAAATATAACACTTTGAAAAAAGGCAAACTAATAGGGCGGTTTTTGTTTGATGACTGATAAGGTTGGGTCAATGAAAATTTTGGAAAGAGAAGGATAATGTTCAGAAGTAAAAGATTCCGCATACTTATAAATCAGAAAATGGTAAGATAACTTTCGATTAATTGATTGTAATGGAAATTTTACACAACAATTAGAGGTATAATTCGGTTGATATGGATTTCACTAATTCCTCATAGTCATTCTGATATCAAATGATATTCTGCAATGTTGGAAGTAACTGTCATAAAAAAGCATGAAAAACGTTTGTATCACATGAAGCAGCATGTAAACTATAGCTTATCAACCTCTTATCACTTGTACTAAAAGATTTCTTTGCTAACAGCTCGATCATTAAACAAAATTCTTGTGATCTTTGGATAATACATACTGGTTTCCGGCATTATTTAAATTTCATGCAAAACATAATCAATGCATCACTTAGAATTCATCCGTGTGAAATTGATACATCTAATTCCTGCCGTATTCTGCTTAAAGATATTTATGCTGCAGCCAATATAAATTCATCAATTTCATGTTTGAAACAATCACTGAGCAATCATTCCATTTATAAAAATGAATTCATTCCGTTATGTAAATGAATTCTAAACATTAATAATCATCACAGTTACCATGCAAGAATAAACTTCTGTTTATGTTCAAAATACAAAGTACCATACCATTAATCCTGCAAACGAAGAATGAAAATATATAGAATGAAATTTCAAAATATTAGCTATCAAAGATTCCTTAAAATTAAAATTAACCTGATCCATAAATCAGATTAATTTTGACTTCAATTCTGGAAATAGTTCAGAATATTTATTGTCAAGCAAGGGAGTAAAACAAACATTTCAATTTTTCAAGAGCTGCTGAAAACATTTGAACAAACATTTCAATGTACTCTGGTTTTCTTCAAACGTCGACATTTTTTGGATGTTCAAAAACTAATCGATAAAATTTTTATGCATTATCGACTCATACCTGTTTACGGTAAAGTTTTGATTGTGGTCTTAACTGAATTGTTTTTGCCATATGGACGGAAAGGAATTCATCGGATCAGTATTGCTGTTACCAATTACGTGGTTTCTTGTTTCGTTTATTGCGCTTTCTATGTCCTTGTTGACCAGAGTAGTTCTGATTGTATCCGCCGTTGGCATCTCCCGGTTGTTGCTGTTGCTTTGGTGAATGATTCTGATGTCCACTCGGTTGTTGCTGATAGTTGTCTTGCAGCTGTGAATAATTTTGTTGCCAACCAATCTGCTGATGCTTACGTGAACCATCTTTCCCGGCCGCATTGTGCCTACATTCTTCCGGCACGTCTGAATACATTCCACCAAACTGACCTTTCCGCTGATAATGCTTACTACGAGATCCGTCACCATGTCTACGACTATTATTTGTTTCCAGCCTCGGTTGTGCTTGCTGCTCAGAACCTGATCCCGCTAATATTGATGCCTTTTTTTCAGTTTGTTCTGATTCTTTACTACCATCATCTCGCTCAAACTTTACCTCTGGTTTCTCCTTTTCCGGTGGCATTTTTCCCTCATTTTCTTTTGTCCCTTCAATTTTTTTCACATCTTCAGCTGTGATCGTTTTACCCTTTCCATTATCAGCACCAACTTCTGCTTCATTTTGCGATTCTGGAGGATTTGGTTTTAATGTTGGTACCATAACTTCTGTTATAATTTCATGAGAATTACCGAGATTTTTGCTTGTGTCTGCTTCAATACCTTGTCCTATTATAGTACCAAGAGTTTTTTGCTCCAAGGAAATTTTTAACTCCATTTTCAGCGACACTTCTGTTGCTTCGAATGATTTAATTGGTACCGAGCCGGAAATTCCAATTTCACGCTTTCCACTGCCATCATTCACTACTATCTCTTCTTCAACAGTTATTTTTTCATTCTGTTCTTCCCCTATTTTTGAAGGATCTGAAAGGTCTCGGATGAATTTCTTCTCATCCTTGTATGATAAAACAAAGCATTGTGGGACAGTGATTCCGTCTTTATCCGACAAACTAACAGATTTTGTGACTTCAGTTTCCATAAATTCTGAATCCTTTTTCATTTCCCATACTGATTCCGAATTACTAATTTCCAAATTTTCAATTACCTCATCAACTTTCATTTCTTCTTCGATCTTTTTCTCCATCGTTGATTCGTAACTTTCCCAAATTTGCTCATATACAGGCATCAAAGATTCCGACCATACTAACGGTTCGAAGTTGGCAATTTCAATTTTCTTTTTCATTCCTATCAATCCTTTTTCATCATTTTCCGTTGTCTTTGTTGTTTTGTGATAGTCAGTGATAATATCTTTCACATTTGGCTTAGCATCGTTGTTCAGTCGTGATTTTGCGAAATTTACACTTTCTTGAAGTTTTTTCTGAGTTAATTTTGAAGTTGGCCTTACTGTTGGCGTTTTTGTTGAAGTAATGTTTTGCTTTGATGTCTTAACATTATTACTATTCATAACATTTTTCGTATGTTTCAGTCCAGTTTCTTCAACATTTTTCTCCTTCAAGATAGTGGTTTTCATAGAAACTAAAGGTGAAGGTAAAGCGACGGCTGATTTTGTCATTGATTTCCTATCAGTCATCACCATACGATTGCTTCTTCCATCTCTCGATTCTGATAGCATCTTAACAGTAGTTACTGGCAATGCTTTCTTGGTTGTTTTTAAGGTTGATTTAAGTGATGTGACATTTAAAGCATCTTTACTAATAGTCATCAATTCGTTTGGTGAAGAATGCTTACTTTTTGTACCCTTCTTGGAGTTTTTGCGTTCCCCACATATTTACAGATCCAAGAGAGCCAGTAGACTTCACTTTGACCGTAGCACTGTTTACTGCTGTATTCCCATCACTTTCTTGACTATCCATTTTATGTTTGGGACCCGAAATATTTGGTGCAGAATCAGATTTTCTGCCTTCTTCCGGTACTATCTTACTCTCATGAACCAAAACACTTGTTTCAGAAGCTTTTTTTTTCTCTTTTAAAATCATTCCCATCGATTTATTCGGAGTTTTTATATTCCCATCGATTTCAGCATTCGTTTCCTTTTCTTGTTGTTCTTCATAAAGTGCATTTTCTTGAACTTCTTGACTCTCAAATTGTTCTCGACGTTCATCAATTTTCTTTACATTTTCAGGTTTTTCCAAAACCTGCGCTAATTTTATATTCATCGAAGGCTGCTTAGATCTTCTTTCAGCAATTTCTTTTTCTGGCTCATCTTCTCTCGAAATCTTCTGAGTCGCATTTTCCGGATCATATTCCGATACCAGCGATTCCATAAGCTCATTTCTGCGGCCAATTTCTTTTCGTTCTACAGCAAATCCCTCTTCATTTTCAAAAAAAGCCAAGTTCCCGAAATATTTTTCTTTGATAGAAGTTTTTCCGAGTTTATCTTGCTCTAAAGGAATATCTTCTGTGAAACGATGAGCTTTATCTATCATTGTCAGGTGGATGACATCGCCCTTAATCTTTTCTCTCTCACCCACAGCTTCTGACACAAAATATTCCAATTCTGCATGGATTTCTCTTTTAATAAGTTCTTTGGAATGAACCCTTTCAGAAGATTCCGCATTAAGTGGAGTTTCTTGAGAGCCCTCATTACTCGTCGGTATTAAATGTAATATTTCGTCCGGAGTTTCTGTTTCTTCCAGCTTCTCGTATTCTGTCATTTGAAGATGAAGCCCCCGTTCAGGATCATTGGCAATGTTACTTAAACCACCAATTACGTCAAGTAATTTTCCATCGCTGAACTGAATCCCAATGAGAATAGTGTTTGTCGTAAAATCTTCAGGAAACACAGTTCCGTTAATTTTTAGACCTAATTCTCCAATTGGAGTTCGTTGTTCAATGTTTTCTTTGCTGAAAACGTTGGGTACTACTTCATCTTTCTCGGACTGCTGATTTCCGAAATCCCAATTTCCGGAATTTTCATTCACCGTGTCATCACTTATTTCTGCTTCATCCCTTCGCGAGCTTTCGTCATGATATAAAGTCTCAAAGTTTACTTGCTTCTCAGTTTGCCATTCCTCCGAAAAATTACGATGTTGTTGATCTTCAAGCATCAAACTTTGCGAATTTATTGCTTCGTCAATTTGTCGAATATCATTTCCGGATGTATGCTGTTGCAATTCTGGATTATCAAATGATTTCCTACCATATAACTTAACATTATCTTCCACTCTTTTATTCCACTCCTGGTTCGCCATTACTGAAAGAAATGTCGTTCAAACTTGCATAAATAAGCATAGAAGATTATGCCAAGCAACATTTAATGTTTCATCCGCGTAAAAATGTTAGGCAAGAGACAAATGAGATATTCTCTTAGGAATGCATAAGTATGGGCAGACAATTCAAATATGGAAGAGTTATTATTCCAAAAATGAAAGTGAAATAAATTACGTCATTAATTGGGGTCATTTCACATTACCGTAGTATGGGAGTGCAATTTCCTAACTTTACTCATTTAATTTATTTCAAAATTTATTCTAAAACATATTGAAATGTATAATATGGCATAATACAATTTCATCATACCTTTTTCCTTGAAATTTATCTAAACAACGGAAGGACAAATTTTTGTTTAATTTTAATTAAATTGTGACAACAATAGATGAGGAAATAATTTAATGTATCTATCAGTAATAGAGTGTCTATAAAAAAAGGAAGTGAGTCCTTTGATATAAAAAGTTGATAATTAGTAAGAATTGATTTAAATTTAAATGAAATTATTAATAAATAAAATGAAACAGGTGTATCCTGGTTGATTATATGTACCGTAGGCTGCATACAAGCAATTTTTCAAACATCCTTGGCTTATTCTAAAGAAGAAATAATTAATATGTAACTTCTTTTTCAGTAACAGTCGGGGTTAATGGGATTGTAATTAATTACAGTGCAATTAATTGCACTTCCATTAACCCTGATTGTTACTAAAATTTTGTCAGAATCTATTTCTTCTTATCTTAAAATCATAGTCAAAAGATGTTTGTATGAAGAATTAAACGTCCTTTGGAGATATCGTATAACATTTTTTCAATTTCACTGTTGACGTTTTTTAAAAAATAAAGATAAATTATTTTTGTTGCCGAACTCAAACAACAAAACATTAATCGATGTTTTTTTGTTGAACTCTTTTCTACGAAGCAATAGAAATGAATAAAAATATGCTTTGTTTTTTGACGATTTAGAAATCAAACATTTTTCGAATTTTTTTGAAATGTTGAGAAGAGCAGCATATGCTATCTACCAATCGTTAGATATTCAGTTTAAAAATTCCATGTGATGATGAAAATTTTTGAAACTTTGAAAATACCATTAAAATCTCGTTTATATTTTGGTTTTATGTAATTTATTAGTCCTAAAATTTCTAGTAATAGCAAGAAGTCGTTCAGCAGTTCTGCTAAATATTTGATATTTTACGAGCCTAATTGTCTTTATTTCTACTCTTAATAAATGCAGAAAATTACAGCAATTTTCATTATTTTTTAAAGTAGTTCATTAATTTCAGTTAAAATCCATCCTTAAGCCAATTCAGATTCAAAAATAATTATCTTGAAAATTTTAGCTATTTATTTTTCACATAAAAAAATCACTTGTATACTCTTTAAGACATTTCATTATTTCAAAAAATTTTTGCCATCCGTAAAATATATCAATGCGAGTAAAGTGATTTTAAGATAAATACCGAGGAATAAAAAATTCGCAAGTTACAAATGATGGTAGTAAACTAAGCACCACTCTTTCATTTCGTTGCTCCCATTTACGAACAACCATTGATCTTGTCGTCAAATTTTTTCTTTTTATAATACTGTTTCCTAACCTATCGAAACTAAACAACAGTACGGGAAAGAAAAAAGAAAAGTTTAAATAAATATAGTGAGGAATCTATCCGATGAAAGTAATTGATCAAGCCAAGCAAAGCTAACCCAAACTAAGCCATGGTAAAATTAAAAGCAAAAATTAGGGTAAAGGTAAATTGTTATATCATTGAGTGAAGTTTAAAAGTATTAGTAAGAAAATCAATAGTTCTAACTAACGGGCAGATCAGAGACTCAACTGTTTATCCGTTCACTCTCGAAACTATTTTGCAATGATGCAATGATGGTCAAAAGTCAACAAACGGCTGCATAGCTCTTCTCTCTTTCGTTTTGCATCGACGAAAATTTTTCGATAATGAAAAAAGCATTTGATAAATTTTAATTAATCATTAAAATACCCTAGAAAATAATATGTGAAAACAAAAGTGGAATGTATCAGATAAGAAGTCCGTCAATACTTCAAAGCTTTAGAATATATTTTTAAGTATAATTTACTTTTTATTCCTATAAAACTCATCCTGTTATTGCCTACGTTAAATAGCAATGAAATAAAGTGGAATTAATTTGTAAAAGCCTGAAAAAAAATGTAAATAATACTATCGCATGGTGTTAGTTTGGGTAAAATTTAGAGAAAAAAAAATTTAGAAAAAAAAAATTGACATTGACTTAGCGATAGATCGAAACAATTCTTTCTCGGGAATCCAATCAATATATAAGCATTTGGTGACAATGTCAGCAAAAAATAATCTTTATTTGAAAACACCAAAAATGTTTGATCTATTTGAAATTAATAACGAAATGTCATTCTTCAATGTCTCTCTTGCAAGTAAACGTTATGTAAATTGGAAAATATTGTTGAAGAACAAAATTTTTAAAAAATGAGTCAAGATTAGTGAAAAAAAAATGTATTGATATGGAATGATTAAAGAAGGATGAAAGGATTAGCCAATGAGAAGTGCTAAGCAAATGAACAACTGTGGCGTACATCTTCCTCAAAATACAACAAGTAGAAATGTCCCATCGATGATGATACATACTCTTTGCCTACTAGTAGTTGCTGTTGGTGGTATTGGTATTGAACACATTCCCTTCCCATCCTTATCACAAATTCACTTTCCTAAACATATGAATGGCTTCCTTTTTTTTTCCAATTGGTGAAAAAGCCAGATGTTGACGATTTTATGTCTGCGAAAGAAAATGTATAATAAAATTCAAAATGATTTAGTAACAGTTGGCCTAATATGGTTATTCGTGATATTTCGTTACAGTGATAATGATAAGGACTGTATATAAATAGCAAAGGATTGCGAGAGTTCTAGGAATCCTAGAAGTTTTTAAACTCTCAATAACAAAATGTTATGAAATACCAATACAACAATATAGTTTATTATAATCTGTTTCAGAAATCCTGAGATGTATAAGGATTGCCAGGTTCAACATAATTGAAAAAAAAAAATGAAATAATAATGGTATTGCTAATGAATGAGTGATACATAAATGGATTGACCATAATGCGTTGACCCTAGTGTGACACAGATCTTTGTTCATTCTTAAATACTAAACAAGAAGATAATCTATGAAGAGTTGATACAAAATTTAATTCTGCAAATATGTTGGGAACAAATTTTGGATATGTTTTGCTACAGCCGAACAATTTGATATTACATAATTCGACACCAACGGGCAATCTCTTCGTAGTTCCGACAACCGTGAACAAATGAGGACAATAACCTTTAGTAGTTCATTTCATGAATTTTTTCACCTCCTTCATTCCCCGTCCTTTCCATCGTTTCCTTCATGTCCACTTAGCACACTGCAATTATTTCATATTTTTGACCATCAGTATTTTAATATTAAAATTTTCAAAATTGATTGTTCATTTACTTCACAATAGTAATCAGCAGGGAATTCTAAATTAAAACCAAATTTAGGTTGGGAATCTTATCGAGTTTTAATTTATAAATTAATGAGACAGAATTTCCGAGAATTATATTAACTGGACTTATTTATTGTTTCTTAATAATTAAGCAACATGAGTTAGAAACTTTGGCAATTCTACTTCTCTATATCATATCACTCTGAGATGAAAATATCAGTTTAGTGATAATTTTTGTTACTTTTTTAAAAATAACACGTAACAAAGTATTTCTTAAATAGGAAAGTAAGTACAACAGATGAAATAAAAAATACGAATATATATGGATGATTAATTTTTTAAAAAACATATTTTGGAAGCCGAAATGAAACAATAAGCGAACTGAAAAGTGTATTGAAAATTTTAAAACTTTCTGAGCAGATTTCCAAATTTTATATATTATTAATAAGCTGTTTGAACTTCCTGAAAATGCGTTTCAGAAAGTGATCGCCAATATAGTTGATCTTTGTACTAAAAAACGTAAACAAAAAAAAAAGTAGAACAAAAGTGTAAAGGTAATTGTTGCTAAAAGTAAATTTCTTCACCAGAAGCTTGTGCTAATATGGTGCGCTTTAGATATACTTCAAAAACTAGACGAATTCGGAAGAGTGATTCATCCGACATCAACAAAATAATAGATGGCACTTTTGCGCTTCAATGCCTTGGTTTTAATGACAATACATTCGGTGAGGAAGTTATAAAGATGAGATGCAACATGCTGGTTGTCCAAAGGTCGTTTAATTAGGCACATTGAGGAGTACTAGAGAAAAAAAACGAAAAGGTAGTGGTATTTATTAGGTAACTACTGTACGGCTGGCTAACCGAAGTCATTAACTTATTTTATACTTTTAGTATTTTCAATTGCTTTCAGATTCTATAATTAAAGTTCGAAGTCATTCAAATTTACATATGCAGCAAATCACTTGATCTATGAACCTAATGACATCTTTCTTGTATCTTTTTAAACTTTTGTGTATAGATTTTGGTGTTGGCAGGTTCCTATCAATTTCAAAAATAAACAGCTTGAAATTTTGTTGCCTTTACTTTATTCCTTCTCATCAGCTTTTAACAAAATTTTTCCTTCTAATTAAAAAATTTTCAATAAAAGCAGACTGATTTCGGAAAATATTTGTTAACTGCTTGCTGAATAATTGTAGAAATTTAACAAAACTTTTTAATTTAACTCATTGCAATCTATTATATTTCATAAGAAATGTTGTCATGAAATTTTGCAAAAATGCATAATTTTTAGAAGAAAAAATGCTAATTAACCACTCTTTTCGGTACATTTTCCATTTCTTCTTCCCACTGAGTGATTGTCTTTCGTCATGTTCTGACATCCAATTATCACTGAGATCGATTATCACTGAATGCAAATGCAATGGTTCGTCGCGCTTCTATTCTCAAATTAATATTTCAGAATTCCGATACACGTTTTAGGACTCGATCTTTTTGTGCTTGTTTATAATAACATGGAGAAAAAGAGATCAGATTCTTATTAATATATAGCTCTTAAGTCTCATTCCTTTTCAGCTTTTGAACTGAGATACCTTTGCACTATCACTAATGAAATGAATACTTTCGTGATAGAGAGGAAGGAATGTGCAGCAGGAAGAATTCTGTCATCATTTTGAGAAGAGTAGGCTAATCTTTTAAAGCCAGTCGACGACTGTTTATTTAACTTCTGTCACACACTTTCCGGGAAGAAGTTTATGATGCTAGGATTGCATAATGCCACTTTTCGCTTAATCCAGCATATTATGGTGCTCATGTGCTGACAATTCCCTCTTGCTCAAATGTGATTTTTGGGAAAGTAAAACGGGTAATGCGGAGACTGGAGGGATAGAGCGACATTTCAGCCGTAGTCTATGATCTTTAGCGTATTTCGATGATGATATACTAAGTGACAGCCTTAAAATCATCAATACTTTTCTCCTTCCCTTCTCTTTCCTATTAAGATGTTAACTACGCACAATCATATCTTAATTTAATTGCGGTTTCGCAGAAAGTAAACTTATTTTATAGATACATTTCTGCTTTCTACTGCAGTATTGGATGCAGCTCTTCTGGCTTTTACAGTTTTTCAGTTTATTAATTAAAGTTTAGTAAGGAAATGAAAATATTAGAGTAGCAGGTGAGCAAAATTAATTCAGATTTATTTGCCTTACTTTATCGACGTAATGCATGCTCTTTCATTTCCCACTTAACAATGTGAGTTATAAATCTGCAATTATACTTTAGGATAATTCCTAAATAGAATTTTGAAGTTAAAAGCCAGATATTGAAACGAAGGTTAGTAAAATCCCTTCAAGACTTGTATTTCAGAATTTCCTAATTAGTATTTGCTTATTGATTCACATATCTAACTTTTTTTAGTAAATGGAGAAATCCCCATTTACTAAAAATCATCTTCAGGATTTGGAGATATGAATAATACAGATTGTATCCATTCAATAGCACTTGTTGACCGTCACCATCAAAATTTATCTATTTTTGAACTAAAGAGACAGTTAAAGTTAAATATTGTAAGACAGTTAAATATTCATAAACCAATTATTTTATATCTTGACTAACCAATTGTTTTACATCTTGACTTTAGGGAAAAAAAAATTCATAGTAGCTGTCTAATTTAACTGTTGATTATGTTTTGAATAAATTCAAAACTATCTTTAACTTTTCATTTAGTTTCATTCAGTCTTCCTTACTTCATACTCTTTTTTACTTCATACCTTTACAGGGATTTTTATCTTTCTAATAATCCTCCTGAAAATTTATCGCCAAATAGATTGATCAATTTTTGCTTAAATTTTCGAAATTTTTTGTTTCCAGAATAAGATGCTATCAGTAGTTGTGATACTATGTGATATATTGGGATGTCTACGCATCACATTGAATTTGTTTATAATCAGTATCATAATCAGACATCAAAAAAAGGTTCTTAAGAACATCTTTTACGTTTTTGGTTCTCCACTGCTCTCTCGCGGATATCTTAGAGGATGTTGCCTGATTGTTTGGGGTTTACCTCATACTCCCATCAGTAACTATACTGCTAATGAAAAATAAAATGATTTTGTATCACTGAAAGAAACTCAGAAGTACTATTTCTCAATTAATCGCATTAGTGTGTTGCTAGTCAAATTATTTCGGAAATTTCCAGATCAGCCAATTCACAACTACAATATTACCCTCTTGCAATTTACTCATAATTTTCAATTTACTGATATTCATTTATAATGAATGTTTATCCACTGTTTTATAGACGCCGCTTCAAACGACGTGTTGTTCTGGTTTATTTGTTTTTTAGGTAAACTATTTTTAAACTTTTTTCTTGTCAGTTTGTAGTAGTAGTTGCAAATTTTCATATATAAGCTTCCAAAAAAAAAAATTTTCCGAAAAATTTTAATCTATTCAAAATTTTTGAATAGATTAAAATTTTGAAAAGCCATACAGAGTTCACATTATTCAAATAACTTTTGGCAATCATAGATTGTATTGTATCATAGATCAATTGTATCGATTCTTTCCTTCGCGTCACAAACATAGTTGCAATAGTCAGTTACCTTATGATCTAGAATTTTTGCATACTTCTAGATCATAAGCTAACTGCATATGAAAGTATCCTTTCATTTACATTGATAACACCCAAGGCGATCATTTGTTTTTTCTAATTATTACAGTTGGTTAATAAGTTTCATACCTAGTATTGTTTCGGTTACATTTCCGAACTTTTTCAAATCTTCTCATCCAGCTGTGGTGAGCAAATGGAACTTTCAACACCAGTAATACATGCAGTAATCATAGATTGTTTATTTTTCTATGACAATACATGAAAATCCGAAAAATTTGCAAACATAATTATTCGAAAATGAATATAATATCTGTGCATGTCATTTCTACGTTTCTAAATGCAATTCGGTAATTTTCTGTTTCGGTAATCTACTTAAGGAAGATATTACGATTATCTTGAAGTCTTGAAATAATTGTGATTATGGTAAATAACTCTAGCAATATTTATAAAAGGACTCTACGCAATTCTGAAAAAGGTTACACCGAATCTTTTCAGAAAGAAAACACACATTTACACACACGCAGAAGGACTATGAAGACAATTGAAAGAACTATTTTCATTCTAATTTTCTTTGATAAAAATATACATTTCTAGAGCACAGAACAAATCGTCGAACTGCAGTAATGTTCATTAATATTGTGTCGATGTTGGTCATATTTTTCCTCTCCTATTTAAGCATACTTATTGTGCTGGTAAATCTCTTTCATTTTCTTCAATAATTTGAAATTAAAATTTGAGCTAAATTTCCACTTTTTCAACTACCATGTTTAAATCTTATTTGAATAATTTAACATCTTAGTCTGTTGGGTTATACTTCCTTTATATCTATTGGACACAATAAAACCTTAGCATTCTTCCAGAGAATCAAATTTAATATTATATGCTTTGATAACTAAGGTCCTATAAGCTTATGCTTGAGCAATTTTTCCTAAAATTCTAATGCCTTTACAAAGGGCGTAAGGATGCAATAAAATTATTACAATTCAGATTACACTGCAAAAGACAGACATCTTCCAATTTCATGAGAGGACACTGGGGTTATTGGATTGATGTAAAAACAAATGCTTGGGACTTTAAATTATTTTTAAAACCGCTTAACCGAGAAATTTGAATAGTCTAACCAGTTTGCGAAATGAAGTTCTCACATGCTTGGAATATTTTGTCTTCTAAAATTTGTCAAAAACTTTCTTCAGTTTTGCTACGGCTCAATAATGTAAATGATACGAAGCATCCGTAACAAAAATTTTATGAATGAAGATAGGTTACCTTACTGCAAGTCTTAAGGCAAATCAGAATACTGAATCGAGGTAAGGATCCTTCCTGTGTCGTTCTCGGTATTTTTCTTTCCTCTTCTCTCATAGTGCAGATGAAATCTGAAAATTAAACCATGAAATCTATCTTATTTCAGATTTATCCTTTCCACTACCTTTAAAACAATGTTTCAATTATAAACTAACTTCAAAAAGAGCAGATTCTGTGCAAATTCTTCCCAGTAGGAACAAGAGGTATTTATCATTTGAAATCCATTGGTCAACTTAATTTCAAGAAGATTACGTTACAGTGAAAAAAGCGCCGTTATCAAAGAAGTCATCTGATGTGCAAATAAAAACACCTGATCGTTATTAGTACCGTTCTATTCGTCTAAATATTATTCCTGCTTCCTTGTTCTGGAATTCAACTGGTGGAAATTCTTTATGTTACTAATATCATCGTTATACCATCCCATTTCACTTTCAAGTGGAGCCTCCAGGTGAGCGATGCATTGAAATTAACGGCATAACAGAACTGAAGCAAACCTGACGACAATATACCATTTTCTTCCATTTGCTTGGTTTTTGCAAGAAAATTACTACACGTTATCATAGGCACCTTCATTTCAACTGCGCCTTTTCTCTAAAATTTAGGACTTCCAACCTAAAAGAAATCAAACTTATAGATTCTCATTGCTATGCATGCCGTGTGCCAACCGTTATGCAATTTTCGGATGGTTGAATCTCGTCAGTTAGCTTATCCCAGTGGGGGATTCAGAGAATCAATTTTCAGTCCCAATATAATCTAGTAAGAACTTATAAAAGTCGATATGTCTTTCGTCGGACTGTACCACTAATTTTTTAGGAGAATCCCGTCCTACAATTCTTCCAAAACATATTTTTAATGTCTAAAAAGTTGCAACAATGGACTTGACAGTATTTTAAATTATCCAACATAGTCTACATCATTGTGAAAGCATTATGAACGAAACATTATTTCTTGTGAAGAGATGTTCAGCATTGTTATAATAATTTACGATGAGAGGAGCTTAGAGAAATTTCAAACTTTGAGAAACTTGTGATTTCAGAACTGAAAGAATCATTTCATTTCAAAGCGATCGGGATGAATGAATGTCTTCTGAGGTATCTGCAATGACCACTCAATTAATTTTTCTAATTTTTCTAACTAATTAATTCTTCTAAATTTTTCTAACTGGGCACTCGCCAAATTATATAGTCAGAAAACATCTTTGTATTTACGGATCAGGAATTATTTTGATCTTAAACATTGTTAAGAACGAAATAAATGAGAGTAAATACACTAGGGCATATAAACAAAAACTCATATTAACATATGAAAATTTCAGTAATGATTCCTAATCGTTAAAGCGTACCGGTGTAGTCTGTCATCCAAATGAGACGAATCATCTTGACGATATCATTTGTATCAGATTTGAAAGATGGTAATATTGAAATAGGTGTCTACTATTTAATGCCATATTTTACGCAAATAAATGTCATTGTACCAAGTGTGATTATTCTTTGTTTTGCATAAACTAACTGAAATGGAAGTAAATTATATTAAACTGATCTTCAAAAAGCCAAGCTTAAAGATCTTAGCAAATGATTCCTTCCAAATAGGAAGTTCAAGTGTTCATTTCAACCTGTTGTGCTGAATGCTTATTCAGCTAAACAATCGATCATCAGCATTGTTATCATTTGTATCAGCAGATGAATTGCAAACAACTACTGGGATGGCTGTAAAGGAATACGTATTTTAGCAAACTTCTTCGGATAGCTCCTGTATCATAGTATCACATGTGTTTGAGTTTGAATATGTGATTAACTGAAGTTAGTTATGGAGAGACGAATCGAGATGATGAAGTATTGATTAAAGAGAATAGTTGGGTTGACGAAGTGATGAATGACAGGAACATAAGGGAAAAGTGATCGAAAGGTATACTGTGCGGTTATATATGCATAGAACCCACAAATTAAGGTCGAAATTATCCAAAATTGACTTCAAAATGATACACATATTAGCACACAGTTATTAGTCCTATGGATATCACATATCGAAGATATCCATAAAGTGAGACGATAAAGATGAAGGTTAAATTGTGAGGGGAAATATGAAGTGATGACTAAAAGGAACATTCGAGATAACAAAATGATTGAATGATACACGTCGGTGGTAGGTGAACAGAAACTACAAATTAAAGTCAGGTTACTCCAAATTAATTTAAAATACATATAATTAGCACATAGTTACAGGTCCTGTGGATGTCACATATCGACGACATTCATAACATCTTATGACACGATAAGGCTGAAGGTCAAATAGGGACTGAAGACAATATTTCGCTGACGAACTGATGATTCAAATTAACTTAAAAATAATACATATAATTAGTGCATAATTATAGTCTCTATAGATGTCACATGTCAACGGCGTCCGTAAGGTGACACGATAAAGTTGAGGGCTAAATAGTGATTGAAATATTTAATCCCCAGCCTCATCGTGTCATTTCATGGATACTGCTAACGGAATGATGAACAAAATTAGCTTAAAAATGATACACATGATTACTGCATAATTAGGTCCCATGAATATCATAATCGATAACATCCATAAGGTGACAAGTCGAAGTTAGAGGGTTTCCCATGTATTTTCCATGTGTTTTGAATAATATTTGATCTATTTTGGCTCATTGCCCATTGAAAAAGGAAAAGAAAAAATATAATGTTCATAACGCTCGAAATTTCAAATCCTGAAAGAGAATAGTGGTAAGCTCTAGACTCCAGCCTATGATTCATAGACAACTGAAGTTAGTTTGTGGCTTGCAATCGTATCAGGATCTTGATGACTTCCGATGTACAACAGAAGAGAGGAGAACAGGGATGCCATATGTGGCGGAAAGGTGTTTGGAAAGCGCGAACAAATCGTGCTGTGTGTGTTCGCAAGGGACAATATCACGTCTTTACGTACTCACAATGAAGATTTAGGATAATAAATGGACGAAAGCAATTGTACAGGTGCTTACAAGCAGTTATACAAAGCAGTGCGAATGAATGCTCGCAGTTACCTTTACACACACATACACACACACACACATACACACACACACACACATGTACACACACACACACATACACACACACACATACACACACACACATACGCACACACACATACACATACACACACACACACACATACACACAAAACTTTATTTTTAGTTTGAGTGAATTAAAATATTTTATTGTATGAAGTCATTCAGTGAGGATGAGCGTGTCCATGAAAGAACTGCCCTGTGGTGAAATTCTCGCGGAACTACCACTTATTCGGGAATTATTATCTGTGGTCCGCCAGAAGGATGACAGCAAGGAAATGAACGACTGCGTCGAAAAGTTTTGTGAAGCATTTCGCAAGGTAAGAATTTGCTTGATATCAGTTACTTTTTCTGAAAAGGTAATGTCCTAGTGTCAGTTCTGGTGTCGTCTTAAAAAAGACGGTCTGAAACAGTTCATTGAAATAATGATTAATGTTCTTTTTCAATTATTCAGATTTCATTTTGATGCAGAGTAGTTGCCTACTTTCCCTCGTGCTAATATCTTTGTAGAAAGTTCCATGATTCGACCATTTCTGCACGTATTTATTTGCAGGAAATTTGAATCTCAAATCGATTTATTTCCGATTTGTTGGTCTTTTTAAAAAAATTTCATAATGCTTTGAAGGGATTATTTAGGAGGGATTGGAAACAAATGCTGTATTGGGTGAAATAGAATTGTGGCTTTGGTATTTCACTGGCCAATCGCAAACCGACAAAGGCGCCGATAGATGCCTTTCGTTTTTTGTGAAATGTAGTTTAAGGATGCTTTTGGAGGACACAGTTACCCCTCCACTTTTCACTCTTCTCCTACAACATATCGAAAATGTAAGGGCAGTATTTCTCATAACACTACACTGGACAAACACCATTAAATAAGTGTAATGTAGTTTAAATAAACAGGTTATCAAATGAGTCTAAACTAGCTTTACTTATCTGCTCAATAAATTTTGGTCAGTTCGCACGCATTACCAACGACAAAGAATTGTAAAAGGTTTGGTCAATGCGTTTCCTTATAAAAAAAGGTTGAAGAGTTTGAATTATGATGAATTGTGATGTTCATTTGTTACTGTTTCAGGTTCAGTTCTCAGTCTGCGATACCTCACGATATCGATGCTGTCGATTGATAACATTGATTTTCGAAGGTATTGAAGAGATAGAAGCAGACTATGAACCTACCAGCTGTAAGGAGGAAGCAAGTTTGCCTACAGAAGTGATGGATAGTCTTGTCAGAATTTTGCAAGGAAGGATATATGATAAGGTAGAGTATTTTTTTGATGAAAGACTGATAACTATATTGCTGGAAAGTGTTATGACTAGTCGAAGAACTATATAGTTACTAGTTCTTCGTATTTTGCACACGATCATGCGATTGTCAGTTAGACCATTTGAACTGACTGACTCAAAAAATTTTGTAATGCACATAGAGTCGCACCTTTCATAATGAATTCAGAATCCATTTGTACGAGCTGAGGTTGTTCGTTCATTGTCTATTTTGAGCAGGATCAGTGAAGGGAATGATGAGAATGGATTTGATTGCACTAAATGTATGTCAAGTTTTTTATTTTATCTTATTTTGATAAACAAATATTTTTTTTGTCCTGTTTTTTTCAATTCAACAATGTTTGAATTCATTTTCAGACATTGTTGACGCTTTGAAGGATATTTCTCGTGATGTGCGCGCAGAGGCAGTTCATTGCGTGCCGCTATTTTCTGAAAGCGATATTTCAACATTCATTTCGTTAATTCTGATAGAAAGTGATAGCAATGTTCGTCGCCTTGCTTTTAGCCGAGTTGCATGCAATTTGCATGTGCGATCACTCACCGTTCAACAACGAATGCAGCTACTCAAAGCATCGTTCACGAGCAATGATGGTAGTTTTTATTTATTGGTAATGATTTTAAACTTAACGCATCAGAAACTAGTAAATCTGCCCAGTAACTATGTTTGTTTTATAACCCTAAAATTGATGTATTTCAAGGTAGGTTCTTCTATCCTATTTCCTCGCTCACATAAACTTAAGAAACGAATCTTCAGCAGTGTTACGGAAAATAGCTGAACGAATGGTTATGAATTGGGCTGGAAATGATGCAGTACCGCTACTTAATCTTCTGCAACATCTTGATTTTCTCTCTGATTCACAGACAAGCCAGCAGGTAAACCGATAATTTTCCTACAAATTTGTTCTCTCAAATTTTTTCACTACTGACTTAGATTTTTTCTATTGACAAACCAATGTGTGACTTGTTGTGCCAGTTTTAACTTTTTCTAAGTGGATTTCTTTAAACGATAACATTCATTGAGTTTCCAGGCTTACTTGAAGCACACGAAGAATTTCCTTAATTTTATTGCACTTTCAACGATACCCAGGAAAGATTGCCACTTTTCCCTCCTACTGACGCTTTTTTGTGCATATCGCTTCAACTACAACTCTCTTGCTCAGTTGATTTATAAAACTTACATAAACCATTAAATAAACTGGGAATAAATCGCATTCATTATACAATTTCTCGGGTTTTTTTTCAGATTTCCATTTTTTGCAGGCTTTGATGGTATTTCTTAAAAATTATCAGCGGGAAATAGGGAGTGTACGAACCAGTGAAATGTTAATGAAACTTCATGAATTGTGCAATGCGACACAGACTAAATCAATTGTAGTAGGTATGATGCCATATGCCGATTTCGTGAGCTACGATATACTTGGTCGACGAAATTATACCGAACTACGCCGCAGGTTTTATTTCGATTCTCTAATAATTCTATGAAATTACAGTGGTTCATATTATTGACATAACAATTGTTTGATTTAAAATTTGTCGTTTACTTCTCGAGTTATATAAATAATTGTGTAAAAAGATTATAATACTGAACAAAAATGAGGAATGACAAAAATAAAAATTTTCAGTTCTAATAACAATCTGTATGTCATAGCCGGTCGTATATATATTTGGCGAAGTTTGTGTGAATACTGTCAGTTGAATGCTGTTGACGAAGCAGATCGCTATGATTCTTTGCATGTTCTGCTTCCCGATATGGTTGATTTCGTTGACTTCCTTTACAAGTAAAATATCTATGATTCGTTTGTAAGTAATCTTTTTGAGCAAATAAGTCGATGCAGTTTCTTTGATTCTCAAAGTTAAAACCAGTTAAAAAATTCTTTTTAGGCTGAAATTGATTATTTGATTTGGGGAAGTTTAACATAAGTCCAGGAGACTTCGAGAACTTGTTAAATTCGCTAAACTTGTCTAGGAATGCTCGTGAAATTATCGACTCAGTATTAGTAGACGTCTCTCTCTATATTTTGCTCTTAAATTTTATGCTGCATCTAAACTCATTATTTGGTAGGAAGTTCATTTTCTGAGATTACTCTCTTTATTTATTTTCTCAACGCAGCAATTATTTTCATTTTATTTATTGGAGTTTTATTAATATTGAGTAGGTAATTTTAGCAGTTTGGCTACATGGACGGCTTCTGCAAGTTCAGTACAAGGAGTTCTTGAAGAATGTGTTATCTTTCAATTATGCTTGCTAACACGGTTGTTTGATCAATCGGATCGAGTTGGGATGTAAAATGCGAAATTTTTTTTATGCTTCCCGTTCCCATTATTATTTTTTGCATTTGCTCAAATTTGTGTTAATGTAAGCTTCTTTTAATTATTAAAACTTTTGTGGAAAATTTAGGGAAAAATGGCAAGTCACATTGGAAACAATCATCTCGACACGAGATTTGCCAAACTCGGAAAAAGTACTGGAGTTCGCGGTGTATGAATTATTCGATTTATTCTATGCAAAAGAAGGGAAGTTAGAGGTTGAAGTCGATGGATTTTTCAATAACATTTTCGAAATTTTCTATTTTTCGTTACTTGCGACCTGATTTTTACAAACTTTCACTGATATAGTTTTTTTTAACACCGTAAAAACTTATGTGATCATCTTGACTATTGGTGCCATGTTCTGCAAATCTTAATAATTGTATTTATTTGTCTTTTGATAGAAAAATCTCTACATCGCCTATCATTATTCTGCGGCTCTTTTAATTCGTTATAATGCATTATGACGAATGAAAATAGTCCTAGAATATATCTTTAATTATTAATCATTTATCGACCTGATTTTTACAAACTTTCATTGATGCAATAGAAAAAGTTTCGAAATTCCAAATAAATTATAATTTGAGTTGCAGGAATTCCTTGAATGGTGTTGTTATCGTATAAACAGTTTTTTCACACCTGATCTGAATGAAACTGAAGAATTGCCACTTTCCAGAGCTTTACTTGCCAAGCTTGGCGTGGATTATGCCATGTCGTGTGAAGCAGTTTTAGAGGACGACAATAATTATGAGGTATAGTATTCATTTTCAGGAATTTTCTGGAATTTATGCAGCGGAATTCGATTAGTTTTTAAGGTTTGATGGCAAATAATGATGATGACTCATGGGTAATTTTTCATTTTTAGCCAAAAAGTCACAACATACAGCGTGCTTTGCTATTGCTCCGTGCTATAATGCGAAATTCTTGTATTGCCAAAATTACGACCTTCTTGCGAACTGCGTTCGATCAAGTGGTTTGCCTTATCAGTGTTATTTTATTCGATTGTCAGCTTCTCTACATCTCTTTAGCTCCTTTTTTCCTCACACTTGAATTCTATTAAATGTCAATGATGACTTCGAACTTGTTCTAGAGTTCTTTCACAAAATCATAACTCTAAATTTCGTTCCTTTGTTTTTTTGTCTGTTCTACAATTTATATTGTACTTATTAAAAATATGACCTTTCGGTTGCATGAAATAGCTAAATAACCATTAATTTCAAGTAGTATACTAAATTACATACACTTGTTTTTCACTGTCTTACTTTGAATGAGGATTCCGAGCTTATTCTAGTGGTCTTTCACACCTAGAAAAGTTGGGGAAAATATTGTGGTATGAGGTACTGTAGCTTAGTATAATATAATTTCAGGAGTTATGTTCGTGATCAGTCGAAATTTTACAATAATTGTTCGTTTTCGTCGACATCATTTTTCAACCAAAATCTTGCAGGTGGACACGTATTGCACAACCCTAGATCCAATGATTTGGGCTTCGCTTTCTGAAGTAATTGGTATTGGTGTAGCAATTGATGGACAGATTGCTCGTGAACGAATTCATGTGCTACGTTCTGCTATTGAAGTCGAAGGAACACCTACACATGTTAAGGTTCTAGTTTAAATATGATTTTACCCTAGGGAAAGATACTGTAATGCGATGTGTTGTAGCTTAGTATAGTACAACTACAGTTGTTAAAACTTCAAGGTGGTAACCTCGGAGAACTTCAGTTTCTGGTGAAATCGATGATTCAAAATTTAACCAGTTATACTTAGCTGAAGCATTTATAGGCTTAATAATATTAAGGCACTGGCTCTTACATCCTTAGCTGCATGCGCGATTTTGAAAAGTTATGCAACAACAGCTCAGTTGTATTACCCGGAAATTACAGAAAGTGGTATTGTGAAGGGACAAATGCTTCTACAAGTTTTTGAAGGATTTATATTCAATCAGGTAAATTGTGGAGCTTATGTAAAAGTTGCCAATTAATAATTAGGTTGGAAACTGTCAGAATTAGGCTTCCACAAACCTTGCTTTGATATTTCTTTTTGTTATAAAAGTAAACTGGCTACAACTTAAGCTTTCAGAAAATTTAGGCGTCTCTGCAGCTGTTTTATAAATGAAATTCAGGTACTCAGGTCTGTAAGTGTTAACTCTAAAATATAACGCTACCTAATAGACTCAAGTCAACCGGCAGGAACACCTGTGTTTAGATTAAACACACTAATAGTTATGCCAGAACATTTTGGGATTATAAAGCATAAGATTTCACTTGGAATCTCTTGTTTACAGTATTGAAAGGTGTCGAAAGTTAGCTTCTTTGTAGGATGCCGAACTTTCTTTTGCGGCGGTTGAAAGTATTGGCAAAATACTGTATCATAGATGCCTTTGCTTCCCGTCTGCATTGGCTGGCCTGCTTCTACGATATTTTGATAGCTCATGCCAACCATATCCATATACTTTCCTGAATTATTTTTTCAGTTTTTATCCCGCATCGAGTAGGTAATGATTTGCACTCTTCCACAAGTAGAAAGATTTTAATCCATTTCATTTCATTCCTCTTTTACTTTCAAGTTTCACTTTCTTAATGGAATTTTGTCTCTTTTTTTTACCAATAACCTTATTTTTGTTTCAGAATACTTTCATATTAACTCAGACCAATATCAGGAGGTTATAAATTCTGATAACCAGTCTATATTATTGGAATTTTAATACTTTAACTGTGCTGAATATACTTTAGTGTTTCATCACTAACACCGGGAGAAAAATTAGTTGGACGTGCTCGTCTGATAATGTGTCAGCGATAAGTAATCATCCAACTGTATTAATTGAATATTAGACGACATGCAGAAACCAATCATCTAATGGAGATAATTAATGAAAGTACTACGCAAACTTCAGAGTGTTATTTCTCTTGCAGTATCAACCAGCACAAGTTAATCGGCGCATTGAGGCATGCTCTAAAAGTACTAAATGAAGCTCAGGATGGTGGCGAACTCTCAGTGAATATTGATGCAAGCAGAATGGTCAACTTTGTAGCTAAAGCAGTTAGAAAATCAACACTTTCAAATTCTGCTAAGAAAGTGGAAAAGGTAAGAAAGATTTCGAGATGAGTAATTTTCAGGGAGAAAGAAGAAATAACTTTAATTTTGACGGAGCATTTCCATAACTTCCGCATGAAACTTAAATATGTGGTGTTGCTTTTGTATGTTGCTTTAGCCTTTCAGGAAGGTGGAATTTCTTGTTTTATAATGAAAAAAGAAGAGAGTTCACGTTTAGTTATCCTCAAGCTAAATTAGTAATAATTGATTGTGAAGTTATTTAATACTATGCTAATTTCTATTTCTATTTTCAGATATAGACCACTGCATAAATTATTTCAAATCTTATTTTTATGTAATGGAACAAGTAGTTTCTAAATAGTTGTGTAGTTTTAATTATAATGAAGTTATATAGTTGGATGTTTTTTTTTCCTCTCTCTCTTTGTTTTTGCTGGTTAGGTAACAGTTGTGCAATTTTTAGACCTATCCTCCGCAATTCTTTTTGATCAGTTGCTTGCTGGATTGGGTTATCAATAATGCCGAAGGCAATTTGAGTGCAGCTTGCATAGGAGCTCTCGCATACACTTCACCGGAGGAATTTAGTTACAACAACAGGGCGTATTCTCATTTGCTCAAGCTGACCACCCGGTGTATCAATGTAATATCTGCAAAAATTTTTGTCGTGTAATTTTTGTCCTGCAGATGGTTATCAACAATTATTGTCTTCTTTTTTCTCAGATCAGTAAAATAGGTAGTTAAGAGACAATACCCTGCTTTATCGAATCCTTTACTTCAAGCATTTAAAAGGTATAAAAATCTTATTCGTTTGTTTATTTTTTTAAGTTTCGCTATCGTAAATGTTTAATTCCCTCCTTTTTTGGCTATTTTATCTATATGTGATTGCGTAAAATAAGAACTCATTTGAAGTCTTGTTAGTCCAGGGAACTAAAAACTAGTCTTCCTATCTAGTTTCTTATCTAAATAATTTTCGTTAGAAATCCTTTATTCTATTTGCCTGCTACTTTCTTACATAGCAAATTAACTTTTTCTTCAAATATTTTAACCTTTTCGAAATATTCCTGACTTCTTGCAGGTATTATTTACACTTGAACTTGACAAACTTATACCGATAACTCGACGATTTGAAAGACGGCTTAAACATGTGGGAAGAAATGAAAACGATTGTAAAGATGATGCGAAAAGTAGTTATTTAATTAAGACCACACGAATACCAAAAACTATGTGATTATTGCTGGTTTTTAGACTGAACAACTAACTAAGTTAATATTTGCTAATTTATTGCTATAATTGCAATATTTTTCTTAAAGAAAATTCATCAATTAAACTATTCAACTTCCATCTCTTTTCATTTATTTTTCAACTATCATTCCTGTTTCACTACTATAAGCTTTTTCTCCATTGTCTTTCATCTTTTCTTAATCTTTTCGCTCTACTCGATTATGTAATCAGCCAGACTGCTTTTGTTTACTCATTTTCTCATCTCTTGAATCATTGCAATAATTTCATTGCGAAATCTTTCATTTTATTCGTTAAGTTTTCAGAAATAATTGGTCTGTCCAGATTCCAGCAATCTTTTTCGGTAATCTAAGCTTTTAGTGGAAGGACATCTTCTCTTCCTCCACAGGCTTTACATGTTTCATAAGAACCCAATTCTCTTCATAGAAAAAATCTTGGCAATTTGTGTGTTCATACTTCCTGCATTAATGTCTTACATAGTTGCTGTTCCTTTGTAACTGTAACATTTTATTAATGTAAGCCAGTAATTATCTAGTGATCGTCACTAGTTTCATCTTCCAATAGTTGGTTAATAAAACGTTACCGTGACAAATCACTGACAGTGAATATCTTTTCAGGTTAGAATCGATGCGCCGACATTATTCATGAAAGCCGTATCGAAATTCACCGTTTTGCGAGCAGAAGCCTGAAAATGTAAAAATGGTGTGGCTGAAAGATTAAAAGTCTGGAACACTTTTAATGTTGTGATAATTTTTAAATTGTATTGTTTGATTATCTTCATTTTTAGTTACTTTGTTCACCATTGTTTTATCATGTGTTTGTCATTTTTGTTGTTTATTGGTGACTTCATTACTTTCGTTTCCTTATTTAATTTTTAAGTCCTTATTTGTTATTCAATTTTAGAAAGCGTTTGCTAGTTGAAAGACATGCAAAATATTTTGATTCCGTTTCCATGCCATCCAGAACATAATTCTTTCTGCATGCGATCTTAATCAGTGTCATACTGCTTGCTATTGATAATAGCGTAGCAGTAATCATTATCGTCAATTTGTGCTATATTTTTGTGTTATATAATGTTAAATGTTTTGAAAAGTCCTTGAGGGTACAACTGCTTCATCAACTGAGATAATGTCTCAAGAGAATATGGGAGATTTGATAGCGATAATGTCTCACTACAAAGAAGCCATTTATACGACAGCGATAATCCATCAAAAATTGGATTTTTTCCTTGATTGAGGTGACCACCAAAACATTAAAAGAGTCTTTTCTAAGCTGCTACAAATTTAATATGATATCTGCTCTCTATATATGGAGGTGGCTAGTTTCAGTAGAATATTGTATTTTTGATTGTTTATCATCGTGTTCGATGATAATCAAAAATAGAATGTTCTAGTGAAATAGGAATTATGACGCATCGAAATGTGAAATGAAGCGAATTGTTAAATGGCACAGTTGACGGAGTAGTAACGGATGTCTCCGTGTGTATTTTCCAAGTTAATGGATAAATACATGGGAAGAGTAAAAATAGTACCTTTAACAGGAAGAAGTCCTATACTTGGTGAACAGATTTTTAATTCTGTTCATTGTAAAAGTCGCCAAATTACTTCAGGACACTGCAAGCAAGTTGAATGCAAAAAAATGACAGCAAATTTCAGTTTGATTTCAACTTGCATATTCCAGTAAGAGGTCCCTGTTAAATGTCATAAAAAAGTATACTTGTTAAAAAAGGAATGGAGTAGTGAAAGGAAGCTTAAGAATTATTGCGAAGTAAGTTTAGTTTTAAAGTTCATGTTAGTTCGCAAAATGACTAAAGAGCAAAGGAAAAATCAACACGTCTAGTATTATTTATTATTTATTATTATTATTTATTATTTTATTATCATTATTATTACTATTATTATTATTATTATTATTATTATTATTATTATTATTATTATTATTATTATTATTATTATTATTATTATTATTATTATTATTATTATTATTATTATTATTATTATTATTATTATTATTATTATTATTATTATTATTATTATTATTATTATTATTATTATTATTATTATTATTATTATTATTATTATTATTATTATT